GGGGGGGGGGGGGGGGGGGGGGGGGGGGGGGGGGGGGGGGGGGGGGGGGGGGGGGGGGGGGGGGGGGGGGGGGGGGGGGGGGGGGGGGGGGGGGGGGGGGGGGGGGGGGGGGGGGGGGGGGGGGGGGGGGGGGGGGGGGGGGGGGGGGGGGGGGGGGGGGGGGGGGGGGGGGGGGGGGGGGGGGGGGGGGGGGGGGGGGGGGGGGGGGGGGGGGGGGGGGGGGGGGGGGGGGGGGGGGGGGGGGGGGGGGGGGGGGGGGGGGGGGGGGGGGGGGGGGGGGGGGGGGGGGGGGGGGGGGGGGGGGGGGGGGGGGGGGGGGGGGGGGGGGGGGGGGGGGGGGGGGGGGGGGGGGGGGGGGGGGGGGGGGGGGGGGGGGGGGGGGGGGGGGGGGGGGGGGGGGGGGGGGGGGGGGGGGGGGGGGGGGGGGGGGGGGGGGGGGGGGGGGGGGGGGGGGGGGGGGGGGGGGGGGGGGGGGGGGGGGGGGGGGGGGGGGGGGGGGGGGGGGGGGGGGGGGGGGGGGGGGGGGGGGGGGGGGGGGGGGGGGGGGGGGGGGGGGGGGGGGGGGGGGGGGGGGGGGGGGGGGGGGGGGGGGGGGGGGGGGGGGGGGGGGGGGGGGGGGGGGGGGGGGGGGGGGGGGGGGGGGGGGGGGGGGGGGGGGGGGGGGGGGGGGGGGGGGGGGGGGGGGGGGGGGGGGGGGGGGGGGGGGGGGGGGGGGGGGGGGGGGGGGGGGGGGGGGGGGGGGGGGGGGGGGGGGGGGGGGGGGGGGGGGGGGGGGGGGGGGGGGGGGGGGGGGGGGGGGGGGGGGGGGGGGGGGGGGGGGGGGGGGGGGGGGGGGGGGGGGGGGGGGGGGGGGGGGGGGGGGGGGGGGGGGGGGGGGGGGGGGGGGGGGGGGGGGGGGGGGGGGGGGGGGGGGGGGGGGGGGGGGGGGGGGGGGGGGGGGGGGGGGGGGGGGGGGGGGGGGGGGGGGGGGGGGGGGGGGGGGGGGGGGGGGGGGGGGGGGGGGGGGGGGGGGGGGGGGGGGGGGGGGGGGGGGGTGTGTAGCAGGGGTTGTCTATTCATATTTAAACCTTGTAATGAAGCTCACTTGGTTGAATTGCCTGTTTCACAATAGAACAAACTACAGTCCTTCCAGGGTGTTTTTTTCTTCTTTTCCAGAGGAAAATAATTCCACTGGTTATGGAGAATGTGTCTATCTGGTGACAGTGGATATGTTTAAAGAGTGCATACGTGAGCTGTTCAGATTTCTCTTACTGCTTCTCTCCCAAAATACGGATAGAATATATAGAGTGAAAGAAAGGTTGTCCACAGCCCCTGCAACAGTGTTCTGGATAAAAGAACCTTTGTGTTCTACTTAGAATTGTTCTGCAAGAACTACACCAAAATGAGATAAGTTAAAAGTAGAAATACATGGTACATATAATTTGCACAGATAAGCTATAAGAAGACATGGATGGGCCCAGTATTGTGATTTGTTTTGAAATTTTTATGTCAGAGAATGAAAAACCCAGTGTTTCTTTGAACACAGAAGTCGTGGAGCCATATCTTGATGGCCAATTTTGGTGCTTTTCCCATGGCTGGTCAGAAACAGAGATAAAGTTGTTTGTGGAGTCTCTGGTGTTTAATAAGTGTTGGGTTTATGCTTTTTTTCAAATAGAGCTGTACCCCACTGTCTGCTGAGGATTTGTTTCTGAAAAGTGTGGTATGACAGCTATACAATGTTCCTTGTAAAAAGTGATGTAAAGAGAGACTCATGCAAGGACTTCAGATCTTCACAGGCTTTAAATACACAGAAACAGTGTATGTGGTTGGAAGGGTTAGAGGCAAGAGTGGATTACCAGAATCAGCAACTGGAAGAGGTGCTGACTTTTACAGATGCTGGGTTTTGGAAAGGATCATAATTCAAAAAACTAACAACCATTTGTGAAACTGCCTGTTAGCCCCTTCCTCTGTCCTTCACTCTTGAACTGATGTTGATTTATCTGGGGAAGATGATGATAGAGGTGAAGATGTAACTGTTGAGAAAGGCTATGATAACTTCCACGGCAAAAGATTTTTGGCAGGTGTTCAGTTTCATAGATTAATCCATTCCATGGCTTAATCCATTCCATTCTGAAAAACTTGCATCCTCTCTACATGGGGTGATCCTTCCCCGGCCCTTCTATCTTCAATGTCATGTATACTGCTCCTTTGTATTAAAATATTGTGTGTTTCTGAAGTCCCTGCATGTATCCTGCTCTGCTGCATGAATTTCTATATTAAAAGTTGCACTCAGTCAAGCTGAGCTGTTTCATCTGTGAGGCTGCTGACAGCAGAGTAGGATCTTAAATGATGAGTGGTAGCACTCAGTAAAAATAGGAAAAATTGATACTGGGATTGCTTGATCGTAAGTTCCATTTTCTTGCTACCTGCTTTCACAAAACTTTTAGAATCATGTTCATCTTTGACATTTACCTCTTTTTTTCCTTAATCTCCATCACATTTGATTGAAACCAGCCAGCCAAATAGTTATTTAAGCTAAAGCTTCATGAAGTAAAATTCTTCATGCTCAGAGGTTTGAGAGGACCATAGGCTAAAACCTTCCTCACAATTCATGTAGGAGTCTGTAATATTCTCAAAATAAAAGATAAACTTGGAAAATTAGAGTAGAAAAATAGAGAATGCTTTAGGATACAATAGTCTCAGAACCGTGAATCTCTAGAGACTGGGAGGATGTTGGACTTGGACACTGACTCGGAGAATTTTTCAGTCTATCCCAGCATGGTTCTTTCCCTTAGCTGATACATTGGAACAGTCTTTTACTGTGATTTGTCTAACTCAAATGCTCCTTTCATGACTTTGCGACTAAATTTTTTTTTTCTTGCCATATCATCTGTCTTGTTATGAGCTTAAAAATACATTTAAACCAGGAAATCTTAAACTCGCTTGTCTTATCTCTTACCTCCACCTTTCCCCACTTTAGAAATTGAGTTGGGAGAAATGATTATTCTTTTCTCTGTAATTTTTACCTGTTTACAATATACGGTCATTTTCTGCATGTTCAGAAAGATTGTACTTTTATTTTGTGAGCAAAATACGATGATGAATCATATTATGGGCATAATATTAAATCCTTTTCTATTTCCTTTTTTGACAGGTCCTTGACCAATATGAACGAGAAGGGTTTAATTTCCTAGCTAAAGTTTTTAATTCTTCACATTCCTTCTTAGAAGACTTGACAGGTCTAACTTTATTACACCAGGAAACACAAGCTGCTGAGGTAAGAAAATACAATTTGGATGTTAAGAATAAACAGGTGTCAGTAAAGGGTGTTTGGTCTTATGTTCAGCTGTATAACCATGCGATTAAACGAATCAGTGATAGAATCGAGCAGTGGTATTTGATTTACAGGATGATTTACACAAGCCACATTGCATATTCCATCCAACAAGATAAAATGTGTCCTCTTAATGTTATAGAATAAGAAATATTGTTGGATGTGAGAGATCATTCTTTTTTCAGAATAGATGATGGGATGCCTCTTGACAGCCAGTTAGAAATGTGTAGCACTGTTATTATTCATTGTATTGCTTTCACATTTTGTGAAATTACAGAAGTATTTTAAGTAACAGCTGTTGCTTGACAGGTCTGAATTTATGTCAAGAAAGTTCCTATCGTCTTTTAGGGTGTGTTTCACTGGCAATGTGAATTGCAGTTTGTGCAAGCCTTACAAGTACTGATAATAGGCAACCATGATAGCACAGAGCCCAGTACACACTAACCACAGTATTTACACAGGTCCTAGGTAGGCTAGACATTCTCTTAAATTAACTTTTTCTATGTGGGTTTTTAAATATTGCTTTTAAAGAAAACATGTGACTTATGTTGTGTTGCAAGGAAAAAAATTTATCATTTTAAGTCAATCTAAAATGTAATTATTACACTTTTTGATGGATTATAATATGGGGAGAACAGTGTTGTTTACTGTTGTTTATTCTGTAGTGACAAAAGTTGTAATGTAGAATGAAAATGGGGTACGTTTTGTTCTCATGGGTGATAACCCTGTCTGAAGTGTTGCTATACTGAGTTTTTCACAAAAATGAAATGGGTGTCTGTCTTAATTTTGTATCTTAATAGTGATTTGTAATGCTTACTCTATCCGCAAATGTCTATACTGTTCTACATCTGTAATTTAATTTTGATGTAGTCGTATCACATGGATGTTTCTAAAGTTGGCTTTGAGAAGTGATTATTCAGTTACTGTAGCCTCTGCAAACGGTATAGCTGTTTTTTCAGCTGGAAATGGCTCAACAGTGTTACTTAATAGGGTTCGTGCAGGATAATGATGACTTGACTCTCTGTTTCATGTTTTAACCTTTTAAAATAATTGAAGCAGATGCTGGAGACATTAAACCATGAAATACCTAATGCATTCTTAAATCAGCCTGGTGATACCTAGAAAAAATATAAATATATGAGGGATCCAAGAAAAAAAACCAAATACCCTTTAACAGGTGCTACTCATTAACAATAAGAGCGATTGTAGTCTGATTGCCATACCTGACTTCTAGGGTGCTAAAAAGTATGTAGGCTGCTAAGGACAGCGTTAAAACCAAGTACAATTGCCCTAGCTAGAAATTTACTATTTTGCAGATATTAATTAATAAATTTCTTTTGCAGCTTCAGAATATACACAGGTGTTTGTAAAGTTTTAGATATTCTTTACAAAATGTATAGTCTGGTGTGAGTTTATTGCAACTTGGTACTGAAATACCAAGTTTAACATAAAAAATTGAATTAGCGTGTTTTCAAAAGTCTTTGGGCTCAACAGTGAGGTTTATGCAGCGAAATCATTGCTCAAAGGTGGAAAAACTGACATACAAAAGACTTGCAAAGCTCGTGCATTCAAATTAACCCAACTACCACAAAACCAGCAACAACTTTTTGCTTCCCTGTATCATTGCTGTGTTTTTGTAAAAACTCATCTGTTTTACCAGGGTTAATTATTTTAATAGTCTTGATAAAGTTTGTATTTCTGAGTCATATGGTCTAACAGGCAGATAGTTTGCAGATTCTGGAGCATGCTTGCTTTCTTTGGATTGAAAGACCTTTCTTTAGTTACATTTTGTCACTGTTGACTCTGAAAAATAAAAAGGTGGTTTTGTTTTCCTCTGCTACATCAGTACATAATCTGGGGCAGTTTTTAAAAAATTTAGGTGCACAAAAGAGTTCTTTAGTATATTTTCTGCTGAATTGTACTTTGAGCTCTTTTTTTGTACAGTGCAGTTGGTGCAATTTACATTGCTGAGTTTGAAGATGGCAAAATCCTTTTTCAGGTTTCTGGCTACTTTTGAGATACTGTTGGCAGAATGTATTCTCTAAAACGGAGGCATTAGATTTGTTAAGATCAGTGCTCTTTAGGTTGATTTAAGATATTCTTGAGACATGGCATTCTAAAAACTGCAACGGTAGTGAGAGAGATTTTATAAGACATCTGTGGGCTATTTTGATAATTAGAAGATTTGATTGTTCTATTGAGAAGTTACTTGCCTTTCTGAACTCAGACTCTTCAGAGAGATATTGTAGATGTTGGGTTTGGAGACCATAAAAATGGCTTCTAGTAACTGAAGATTTTCCTTTTCTTCTATCTGGTAAAATTTGAACAGTGCCATTGCTCCACTGTAAAGAAAACAGACTTCCAAAGTCATCCAACCTTAAATTTGCTGCAGTAACATCAATAATTGTGTTTTAATTCCATATATAAAATCACTGATATTAGACTAATAAACTTGCGTCTGATAGGGAAACTATTCCATCTTGTTCTTTTTTTCAAAAGGATCACTCTTAAAATGTTGATTCATTTAAAGCATTTAATTGAATGTTTTGCTCAGAATGTTTTATTGTGGTCAGAAGAACAGGAGGTTTTGTTGTGCTGGTCTTAGCTTCAGCATACTGCATCTTAACATAAATCAGACACTTTTTTTTTAATTCATCTAACATGCTTAGGTGCTTTCATGATGTGTGTATGAAGTGCTTTAATGAGCTAAATACTAAACTAATTTTTTAAAATTGCTTCTAAGTTTTGAGTTGCTTAACAGAGATTCTGGATGCGTCATGCATGTTCTGTACGAGTGGCTGACTGAATTAAATAGAACATTTTTGGATGGCCTGAAGTTTCTATGAAAACCTTACCTCCCTACATGCTTAGCATGAACTGCGCTTGCCTGGATTAAAGCAATACAATTTGCAGTAAGATATGGAAGATTTTTCACTTACTGAGTATCTTTTTAACTTGTTCAATTTCCTGTTCCAGTGCTGTGCTGCTGGCCTAAGTGTTAATACCATTCTGACATACTTTACCTTACCTTTTTAAAATGACCGATAAGAATATAATCATAATTCAGTGTGCAACTAGAGTAGGAATCATAACACAGATTTAGTCTGTGGTTCAAATTTGATACTAATTGCAGGGGTTTTATTCAGTAGAGCACCTATTTCTTTAACATAAGATGCATCAGGAAATTGTAAATGTTCTACATGACTTCCTTAGCATGACAGTTTACTCAGTGAATAATAAAATTAGCAAGTGTTTCTATTCTGTCTTGAAATGACAGTCAATTTCAGGCATCTGCTTTTTCCACATCTGGCTTTAATTTAGTTTCTGTGGAACATTTTTTGTTTTTTTAATACAGTTAGATATTTATGTACAGCTTCAGCAAGAGACTCTGATCACACGCATGGCTTTGAAGGCCAATAGAAGCTGTGGGAAACTCCCACGTCAGCACTTAGACCTTGTTTCCACTGGATACAGTTCACTTTGGGAGCTGCCCAAGCTCACATAAAAATTGCACTTCTGTTTTCCAGATCACTTTGTCTCCTTACTCCTAACCTAAACTTTTTAACTTGACACTTGTTCAATGTGTAGAGTTTAATAGCTGGGCTTAATATAGGGAAAGCCTATGCATCTCTTGAATTATTAATCAGAAACTGGAGGCGTTGATTTGGAGACAGAACAACAACCAGCTGAATGACTTCCAGTCCAGAACCTGGCTGGGCTGCCCAAGGATGGTTGTGTATCACAGTGCATCTCTAAAACCAGCTGGTTTGCTTGCCACATGTGCCAGACTTATACACTGCAAAGTGTATTTTGTTTTGCTGGTGTGGAGAGCTCTTTATATTTAATCTAGTCTAAAATTAAGCTTTCCTGATATGCACTCAACTACTCTGTGCTAAAGATTAATTTTTACTGATGTGGCATACTTCTGGAAGTGAAAACTGACACATTAATAAAACCCATAGCCAAGATTATTCCATAGTTGTGGAAGAACCATTCCCATTTGTGGGATTTTCTAAGACTGCTTCTTTAAGGGTACTCTTTGTTGTTACCCTCTTCCTTCAGAAACAGCTGCCACTGTTCTTCAAGGCCCAATTAAGCAAAGTAACCAGGCTTAACCTTACCTGAATATACGTAAGTGCTCTTGAAATCACTGAGAGTGAAGCATCTATTAAAAGGTAGTGATAGAAGGAGCAATGATAGTGATAAAGTGAAATTTTTGCATTAATTCACTGTAATAGATGTAGCAGAATTTCTATAAAAGACACTTTTGGCTATATCCATTTCAGAAGTAGAGAAACTTAATTTCTCTGTGTTCTTAATAAGGCCCATGTATAAATATACTTCCTTTCTTTGGAATTCCTAAATTACTGGGATGCTTTAGGAATCTTTACTGTACTTTCTACTTTCATCAGGATGAAAGAAAATACATAAAAGAAATAAAATTCTCACTTTGTTTTATGACTGATTAAAACACAAGAAGTGGTAGAACTCTTGCAATCTTATAGGATAGTAAAGAGGTTTGGAAAAATCAAATCCTGACCAGAGTTCATACTTCTGAATGTGATTATAAAGGTCAGATATTGGTGTAGCAGAATATGAGATCTCTAGATGTTATTTCACTTTACTAATTTTGACTTCAGATTTTTTGTCTCTTAAAATGTGATACATAGTATCTGTAGTTTCAGTGAATGAAGCCTATTTGGTATTTGTAAAATCCCCTTGCTGTGCTAGTTTACTGTATCGCAAACAATACAGATTAGAACTCTTATCATATAGAAGGCAAGAATTTAAAAAAAATCATACTAGTAAAATACTTTGAGCTCTTTGAATGGGAGAAAATACAGAAAACCCTTTTTTGTTCTGATTCTGCACTTATTTGAAGTTCATGCCTAGCCATTTTTTCAGCCATTTGCTGGGGAACCGGACTTAGTAGTATAATAGGC